TTCACCGGTGTGCTGGCGTCTTCCTTCTCCTCTCTCTGTGAAGACGCTGTGTCTTCTCCGTTTGCAGTCCCGGTGGGAGGCTGACTCTCAAGTTCGCCCAGCAGCTCCTCCTGTCGCTCCAGTTCTTCCAGCCGAGCCCACAGCTCCTGGTCCGCGAGCAGATCCTTGGATTCAACATTTGCAAAATCCGCTTCAAAGCTATTTGAAGTTTTGGGTTTGGAGTGAGGTTTATGAGCAATTCGGTGTTTTGCTTTAAATTCGAAGTCACTTTTAATCTCTTCTCTTATGTCAACAGTATCACCTGCAGCATCACTCATTTTCTGCAAATCTTCTGTAAATTCAACTCTGGATTCAAAATTGGTCATCACTTTTTTTAAGTCATCGATTGTTTTTCTTACAAGTCCTTTCCGGTGCTCGACTAAGCCCACGGCCTGCTTTGCGGAACACTTGGCAAACCAATTGTCCCCCAGCAAGACAGTGACTTCATTGGTGTGGACGAGTTTTCCTGGCATGAAGGCCAAAGGGCCAAATGGTACCATGATGTTGTAGGACAGCTTGTCGGGCAGGGTGGCGAGCCGCTCCTGCAGGGCGCTGTAGTTGTCCTCCACCTGCTGCCAGTGCTGGATCTGCTCTCGGCAGCCCCGTGACCACCTTTTCCTGCTCCTGGCGGAGCCGCGCTACCTCCGGGGCCCGCAGCGGGGCCGGGGCCGAGGCGATGGCGAGGAGCGTGGGGTCCGGCGGGGCCTCCATGGCGGCGCCCGGGGCCTCAGCGAGGTGAACGAGTCCTAAACAAGTGTTTATGGAGGCGGCGTGGCCCCACGTTAGGCTAGGCGCCAGATGCTGGGGTCCAACCTCAGCAGGTCCAGGGGTCCCCAAAGGTGTGGACGGAGTCGGCGAAGAAGGAATGACACGGAGACAGCCTTCAGTTGATCAGCAGCCTAGCCAGGATCTCTAGCCAGGAACTCCAGCCAAGTTCTGGTTAGGAACTGACCAGGATCTGATGTTTATTGCCTTGTTACATCTGTACTCATACCAGTCGATTTTAATCCTTTCAATTTCTATTGCAAAGGGTTAGGGCGTTTCTTACCTCCATTCCAGGGAGTAAAGATTATGTAGCTTGAGCGTGATTGTTTGTAGTTAAAGTGATTAACTACCGGCCTGGCACTTAGTTAATGGGGTTGTATCCCCTCCCTAACGTCAGGGAAATCCCCACCTGGGGAAACAACCTTTCTCGGAGAGGTGACCTTGGTTAAAACACATGGCGCTAAGGAGAGCAAACATATTAAGAACAATATGCTATATATGCCAGGTCCCTTGAAACATATGCTGTGCAGATGTTTCTTTCCTGCAGCAACTGTGTCAAGCAGCAAGGATGGACTGGCTTCAGTGAGAAACATCGATCAGCTGCCTCCTGCACACCCCTACTGGGGATGTGCCTGAAACCAAGGTACATGCCCTTGACCAGAATCGAACCTGGGACCTTTCAGTCTGCAGGACGACGCTCTATCCACTGAGCCAAACTGGTTATGGCGACAAATCATGCTTTCTTATGCTTTATACCTTTTTACCCCCAGCTTTATGGAAGTATAATTGACAAAATTGTAATATATTTAAATTATTATTATGATTTGGCATTCACATACATTTTGAAAGGATTCCCACAATCGAGTTAACACATCCATCACCTCATTTATTTATTTGTTTGTTTATATTTTGGTTTTAAGATTTAAGTTCCACTCTTAGAAAATTTCAGTCATACAATATAGTATTATCAGCTATTGTCACCATGTTATATTTTAGATCCTTAGATCTTATTCATCTTATAACTGAAAATTTGTACCTCTTCCCATTCCATTTCCTACCCACCTCCAATTTATATATATATATATATATATATATATATATATATATATATATATATCTTCTTAAAATTGATTTCAGAGAGGAAGAGAGAGGGAGAGAGAGAGAAACATACTATATAATAAAACCCTAATATGCAAATCGACCGGTTGCTATGATGCACACTGATCACCAGGGGGAAGATGCTCAACGCAGGAGCTGCCCCCTGGTGGTCAGTGCACTCCCACAGGGGGAGTGCTGCTCAGCCAGAAGCTGGGCTCACAGCTGGCAAGCAGAGTGGCGGTGGCAGGAGCCTCTCTCACCTCCACAGTGTTAAGGACCCCTCGGGGGTCCCAGACTGTGAGAGGGTGCAGGCCAGGCTGAGAGACCCCCCCACACACCCCCCAGTGACTAGAGGCCCATAAATGTCATGCACTGGGCCTCTAGTCAATGATAAGAGAGAATCATTGATTGGCTGCCTCCTGCATACCCCACACTGGGAATTGAGCCTGCAACCTAGGCATGTGCCCTGACCAAGAACCGAACCATGACCTCCTGGTTCATATGTTGATGCTCAACCACTGAGTCATGCCGGCTGGGCCAATTTTATATGTTTTTATGCAAGACGTGGAAACAACTTGAATTCACAAAGCACTTTCACATGCATTCTATCATATTACCTTTATAGCAACCCAAGGGAAGAAAGTGAAGCTTAAATAATTGCTCAAAATTGCTTAATTAATAAGTAGTGAGGTTGCCCTAACCGGTTTGGCTCAGTGGATAGAGGGTCGGCCTGCGGACTGAAGGGTCGCAGGTTCGATTCTGGTCAGGGCATGTACCTTGGTTGCGGGCACATCCCCAGTAGGGGGTGTGCAGGAAGCAGCTGATCAATGTTTCTCTCTCATCAATGTTTCTGACTCTCTATACCTCTCCCTTCCTCTCTGTAAAAAATCAATAAAATATATTTTTAAAATTAAAAAAAAAAATAAGTAGTGAGGTCAATACTTGAACCCACATCTCCTGGCCTCAAGTCCAGGGCACTTCCTGAATAATGCTGGTGTTTAACATCACAGGCTGCCCAGATGGGTGGAGCTGGCTTTGACTGCTTGTGTGAACTAGGGCAAGCTACTTACTCTCTCTAACCTCCTATGCAAAGTGGAGAACTTAACAGAAACCACCACATTGGCTGTAGCGAAGTGATAATGCGTGATGCTCAGCACAGCACGGTGTCTGACATCAGTGCTCCTTCAGCGTTAACTATTATCTGCCGAAGGGCAGAAGGCTGGGAGAGCCGTTTTGCCACTGACAGGGGAAACTGAGAGGCTAAGTCCAGGGAATAATGGAGCCTGAGGACTGGCGTGCAGGTGGAGGCCATTCTTCCATGATAGAGACTGTCACCCCTAGAGAGGTAGTCACTGGCATGAGATAAGCCATCCTGTGAGGAGACACTGAGGAGGAATGGCAGAGGGCGGAGGCTGGGCTTTGAGATCAGCCACGTGAATTGCAGGAGAGGCAGTTAGGCCTTAGGCGACTGAGTGAGCAAGCATAATGCATGTCTGTCTCAGAAAGAAGAGGGGCGACAGCAGGAAGGGCGCCACATTAACTTAGAGGTCAATGAGAATGAAGAAGTTGCTGGGCTTGGCAGAATTAAGGTGCTAATACTTCCCACTGAATCATGGAGATTATTCCACTAATGATTATTATTACTGCTGTGGCATACAAAGATGAGCCTGAAAGAGGTTGCCCACTGTGGAGAAGAGGAGACAAGTCCATGTATCTCTATGCAGAGGATTTGGCTGACTTTAATGGGCACCAAGTGTTGGTAATGATTTATGAGCTCACAGAGATGGAATAGTTTGCATTGAGCCTTGAGATTTGAATAGGCTTTTGACAGACATTCCAGGTAAAATAGATCATGTAAAGAAAAGGCTGGCCCTGACCGGTTTGGCTCATTGGATAGAGTATCGGCCTGCAGACTCAAGGGTCCCGGGTTCAATTCCGGTCAAGGGCATGTACCTTGGTTGCGGGCACATCCCCAGTAGGAGGTGTGCAGGAGGCAGCTGATCGATGTTTCTAACTATCCCTCTCCCTTCCTCTCCATAAAAAATCAATAAAATATATTTTTTTTAAAAAAGAAGAAAGAAAGAAAAGGCTGGGAGGTGTGAAAATGCAAATCCCAGAGACTGAGAAAGTGTGGCACAAAATAAGGCATGTAGGACCATGTGGGTAAATAAAGCTAGAAAAGCAGATTGAGGCAAGATTTTGAAAGTCCATCAGTACCATACCAAGGAGTTAACTTTCTAGGAAATAGTCATTAAAAGTTTTTGAAGTGGGTGAGGCATGATTACATCTATACTCCAGAAAGAATACCAGGATGGAGTGCAGAAGCCCGAGGGACGGCGGGACCAGCGCAGACCTGAGGATGGGTGGTGGTCTGAGGAACTGGGGGGAGTCAGAGGAGAAAAGGCAGTCTTCAGAGAGAGGGGACTTGACAAGGAGTGAAGGGGCCACACAGGCAGGTTTGAGCCTGGGTGATTGGGCAGAGGTGGCATCACCCGCAGACCATAAAGTCATTAGGGGACTGAGTGAGCAAGCTTAATGCAGGAGGTGGCTCGAGTAGGTGTGGGTGGGAGTGAGCTCTAGACAGAAGGAGTGAGAGATGATCAATGTACAGTTGGATCCTAGATGGCTCCTGATGCCATTATCCAAAATATTTGGATATGAGACGTGTTTGGTTTTAAATATGATAAGGTTTAGGTTCCTGAGAGCTAAAGTTTAAAAAATCAACCTCATTGAAGTATAATTGATGTACTCCCTCTGTCCCATAATAAGAGTAGCAGTTGATGAATGTAATTTGTCCCATAATAATAGTAGCAAAAGAAAATAAATATAGAACACATTTATTATCAAAAAACTAGATTAAATTAAACAATAAATTAAAAATAGTACTCCTAATTTTTATTTTGAGTGTTCAGATAGTTTCTGGATTTTTCAATAATTTCGTTACTGCATTTTAAACTTGTAGGTAGGATCCCTTGGCTGCGAAGCTTTGCTTTCCCTATATGCGTGAGCTTAAAATTATGGGAGCCATCGTTCTTCATTGCTTCCAGCATAACTTGTTGAAGTGATAGAAACGTATTATCCAGTATTTCGGGAGAAATGTTATAAAGGCTAACATGGTGCCTCTTCTGCTAAGAGGAATATGTCTAAGTTTTTCAAGTTTTTCTCCATAATCTTTGCATTTATGTCCACAGTTTTGTTTTTTCAAAGAATCAACATTAGCATAAGAATCTCCTTGACAATTATTTTCGGAGCACGTTTCCAAATTCTTGATATGGTCATTCTGTTGCACTTATGCACTAAATTGTTTTGCAGCTAACGTAATGCACCTTTCTGCAACTTTTCCTTTTCTTTGATGCATCAAGAACTGGACATCACAACTCGATCTTTGCTTGAAAACTCTCTTTTTTTCATCTTACTTTTACAATGGGTTGATATTCAACTGAAATAAAACAATTGATTTTGATCAGCGGATGAAATTAGAAAAATAGTTATAATTCGTAATAATTAGATTAACCTAAAAATTGAAAGATGTGTCAAAACAAATGACAGATGTCATGAAACATTGATTTTGATTGAAGGCTTCGCAATTTTGCACTACAACATAACTTACAGCTGCATTCGCCAATAATTCCCGTTTAAATATTCACTTGCTACTATTATTATGGGACAGAGGGAGTATAACAAACTGCACTCACTGAATATAATGAATTTTGACAAATATACACACCTGTGCAGGTTCAGCTTCATGGGCATGTGACCAAGGATCACACAGGGTGCTACTCTCAGAAGATCCCTGTGCTTGGGTTTTAATGCTCTTGAGTTCACAATCTTGAAATTCTTAATTTATCTTTGAATTTGTGTTTTGTAAATGAAGTCCAATGGGACAGTGTTGGGTGGAGGGGCTTGGA